TGAGGATGGAGGCAGGCGAGGCACCGGGGATCTGAGGATGGAGGCAGGCGAGGCACCGGGAACGAGACAGACTTTAAACGTGTGGTGCTGGGGCAGGAACTGTGCCTGCAGTCTACATCCCCACCTCGTCTATCACGTCAAAAGAAATTACAGGCGGATCACAGATGAAAGCACCTAACAGCAGATAACTGTTTTGTCATTTTGGGGAGAAGCCTAAAGCCCAGGAACTAAGAGAATATAACAAGTGTGAAAATAGAATTTAAAAGAAGAGACTGGTTTAGCAATCACTAAGATTAAACCATGTGTGGCAGGATCTGCTTGTCTCCTCCGAGCGCACAGGAGCCTCTGCCTCATATGCAGACTTGGGGCCCTACGTGGCACTGGGCTACTGTGTGTGGCTGCAGGTCAGGGCGGGCTGGGCCACACGGCAGGGCCACCCTCCCAATCCCATGTTTACACTGAGCATTTCCTCTGTCTGTGGCTCCTGGGCTGGGGTCTGTGATCCAAGTCTGGGAGGCCTCGAGACGCCCACAGACAGCTCATGGGGCTTGGGGAGTGGGACTGAGCCACCTCTGACTCCTTCTGCCGACTGGGATCCGGTTCCAAAGCCACGCCTGGGAAGAGACTCCTGCCTCTCCCAGGACGACTCTGTACTGCCACGCCTCCGTTCTCAGTGCCCATAGGGACGCACCAAGGTGGCCTTTCATCTAAAACCAGACACAGGTGATGCCAGGGGACCACAGACCCAGTGCGAGGGGAGCTGTGTGGGTTGTGCCGCAGGTATGTTAAAATTCATACAGGACACCCAAAATAATCAATCTTATTCTATGATAATTTTAAAATAATAAAAAAGACTTGTGGCAAGCTGAAAAAATGCTTGATAACTTTACTACCAATGGCTAATTTGCAAACGCCTACACATTGAGAAAAATGGGCCAAAAATATAAACAACAGTTTACAGGAAAAGAAATACAGCTTTTAAACCTAGGAAGTACAGCTTTACTCATTAGTTAAAAAACAAAACAAAACAAAAACCTGAAATGACTGATGTCATTTCTCACCTGTTACATTGGAAGAGATCAAAAGTTTAAAAAAGCCGTTCATTCTCCCCTGCAGGGGCGGCGGCTGAGGCCGGCTCTGGGATAATTTGGCAGTATCTGTATCCAAAGGAAACAGAAGGACTGCCTCTGCAATTCCATCCTTGGGAACGCATCCCGCAGACGCACTCAGACGTGTGGGAGGCGACAGGTGCACGAGGATGTCTCGCCAGTTTTGTTTATAACGATGGAAATTGGAAATAAACTGGACGTCAGCCAACACGCATGGGCTAAGCCCGCGTGATGGCACCGGCTGGAAATGCCAGCGTGAAGGGGAGACAGACGCGATGAGAGGGTCTCCTGCGCAGACAGAGTCGCAGAGGCACGGGACAGACCGCGTGTGCTAAGCTGCCATGCACGTGAAGAGTGGAAGGCCGCTCACGCATGTTTACATGTCTAAGCACAAGGTTCTTGGAACTGTAACTACAGTGGTGTCTGACTCAGAGGCGGGCACGGGCTTCCACATCACACCCTGTGAAGTGTTTACATTTCGTTCCATGTGCATTTACTGCCTATTGCTAAAAACGTCAAAATTTACTTGTTTAAAAAAGAAAGTTTGGTGAGAAGGGAGCAGGCCTCAGGAAGAGACCACAGCTCCTTGAAAAACAGAACTTGGACACAGGAAGGGGAACATCACACACCGGGGCGTGTCGTGGAGTCGGGGGAAGGGGGAGGGACAGCATCAGGAGATACACCTAATGTAAACGACGAGTTAATGGGTGCAGCACACCAGCATGGCACATGTATACATATGTAACAAACCTGCACGTTGTGCACATGTATCCTAGAACTTAAGGTATAATGAAAAATTTTTTAAAAATAAAAAAATAAAACAAGAAAAAAAAGAGAAAGGAATCTGATAATCAAACCTAAAAAAAAAAACAAAAAAAACCAGAACTATTCAGGGCCCTCCACAAACCACAGCCAAGCCTAAAGTCATCCAAAGCCACAGTGCTCCCAGGAAAGGAGGCTGACTTACTCTGCACGCAGGTGGCGAAGCCTGGGTTTTTGGCATGCGGAGACCCATACTTGTCGATGCAGCCTGCAGGAAGAAAGGGAATGCATGTCAGTCATCCTTACGACACCGGACGGACGGCAGAGCCTCTGCTTCCGAGAAGCTCTGGAGAGGCAGTTACGCTCCTTACCTGGGGTGCTATCATCCTTGACACAATGCCGCTTAGCTTGTGTTCATACAAAACATTTTAGCTCCAACCCCGACAAACAGGAAACCGCCTCTAGCAACTCAGAGGAGCCGGACACCCACACCTGTCAAGTGCTTAAAGCACCGCCCGCAGTTTCGAGGGGGTTCCTCCCGCCGTACGGGAGAATCACCGGGAGTGTTCACTAAGTTTCCTGATAGTACTCGGAAAGCTAAACTTCATTTTCAAGTTGACCCCTGTTGGGAAATGCTGTCCTTAACTGGAAAGCCACTCTGCTTTGGAGAAAGCCCCTGTGTGCTCTCTGGCTGGCTGGACACGGCTTGACAGTGGACATCCCGATAGGGCGGCCAGGGGGAGGTGAGGCCTGGCATATGCACATCCAGGGATGGCCCGAGACGAAGACTGTGCGGAACGGTGTGGGGCCTCTCGACCTGGCCCTTAGGTGGGTTACTGTTGCTAATGCAGGTGCAGAAAAGCATGGACACACAGCGGAAGGCCTCCTGCGGGGGTGCCGTGGACAGCTGGCCATCCCCTGCTTCAGAACTCAGTCCCAGCACACCCAGGCTGGCACCTGGACTTTCCGGGCCAGTTCCAGACCCACTGTGTGTGTTCCAGATATGGACCCGGGGAAGGACCCTTTACGAGGACATTTACTAAAACGCACTTTGCAACATTAAAAAGGAAGACCCTGGAATACATTTCTCTCCTTCTACGTGAAATGCACTCAAGGAGCTCTGAGACAGTGTCAGTCAAACAGGCTGACCCGGGGTCTCTGGGCTTCCCTTTCTTGCTGTCCTCCCTTCTCAAGTGTACACTGGGGGTCTCCGGAGGCCGCCCCGCATGCACCAGCTGCTCTGATGGCTGAGATAACGTCTGTGCATTCCTGTTCTTCAAATTAAACAGAAACACTATTCAGTGTTCTTGGTTTTAATTAAGAACACGGTAAATATCAGTCCGTACAGCCCACATGAACATGGACCCCTTTGGGGTCCTCAGTGACTTCAGAAGTGTTTAGTGCTGAGATCAGAAAACTGGAAGACAAAGTCCATTACATGTACTGACATGGAGCTGAGCCTGGCGTCAACTCAGAGAAGGGGTTTGCAGATAACGGCATTCGCCTGAGGTTCACTAACACAGAATAAAGCTGTGGTATAAAATAAACAGAGAATCTTGTGTTTCTGACCTGCATGTTCTGGACAGTTCCACGTGCACCGCGTGATTAAGAATCTTCCTTCCAAGACTTACGTGGTGAGGAGATGCCTCCAGCATGAAACACGTACCCCCCAACTATGCCTCTACGACAACCAGGGTAGAGAAGTGATTGAGACTTACCTAAGTATCTCGGGTAAAAATAGTCCTGTGGAAAAAGAAAGAGAAAAGGCAAGCGTTGACTGGCACGCTACGAGGGTCTCTAAGCAACATAAGCATCCGCCGGTTAATCAGAGGCTGCTCCACGGTGGCCGGAGGCCGCCCCACCCAGGGAACCGAGGGGAAGTGACCCGGGAAGCTGCCGTGCTGCCGACTTGGGTCCTGCAGACGGGCGCTTACGAAGCCATTAGCACGACTGCTGTGAGACCAACAAGCAAAGGCAGGGCCATTTCCAGCTGCGTAGGAAGCACCACCCCATGTGTCCAGCGGAGAGGCCTGTCCAGGAGAACGAGAACGCCTCCAAGTAAAACTCCAATCTTAGTTCCCTGTTGACATCAGGGTCTCTAGAACCCAAAGACCTCAGTTCCCTGTTGACACAAAGGTCTCTCAAAACCCCAAAGACCTTTCGTTTGGCACACGGGCATTGATTTGCACTCATTGTATTGGTGAAACAAAACTGGTATTGGATGAGGCATGGAGGCTGTAACGAAGGGTCTTCTCGTCCACGAAAGCACGCCGACGAGGTCCACATTCGACACAAGTGAGCTGCCGAGTCCTGGAACCACCTGCCCGTCACTTGGCCAGCAGAGGCCAGCCGGAAACTTCTTCAGGATCCTTCTGCCATGGCCCAGATTCTAGGGCCACAGCCTGGTTCAAGCAGCCTCCAATCTCCAGCTTAGGGTCAACCATGCCAGCAGTTTGGCCCTGAATGCTCTAAACCAAGAGACCACAGTCATGGCAGAATAGTCCCAGCGGCCTCTCCATGCTGCGTATGAGTCAGCATTTTCACACTATTTTACGAAACCCTCACAAACACCACCCAGGAAGGTCTTTTTAATCCCATTATCAGGAACGAGGAAACCTGGCTTCAGGATGGTGTGGGATTCGCCTGGGGGCGCGAGGTTCAGGATTAGCAGGCACTGGTAGCATTTTGCAGAGTGGCGGGCAGAGGCAGTACCCAGCGCCATGTGCAACGCACCTCTGGCTTCATGTGCTGGCTCTGCACGGCTTTTCTGCCTCCTTCCCACCTCCTTCCCACACTTGCTGGCCTCGCCACACCTTTTGTGGGAAGAGCCTGGAGGGCCCCATCCCAGCCCTGCCAACACCTTCCTGAGGCCTGCTTGGATGTGTTTTCACAAAGTTGTGTTCCAGGAGAGATGGGATGCTCTTAAAACCTTACTCCCTTAAGAGAAAGGAAGGGTCAGGGTGAGCTGGTATTCAGCACATGTGTCTGTCGGAGGGCGGCCGCCCTGGAGGTCAGGAGGGCTGCAGACCTGGAACACACACCCTCACATGCCTGCCCTCATTTCTCTCACTTCCAATTTTAGTCATGGCAAACTCCAGAAAAGGGGTGACCAGCAACACGAGTGAGCCCTGGTGGAGGTCTGGGGCAGCACGGGGCAGCAACAGCTTCCCCGGCTTGGAAGGAGAAGGGAAGTGATGGGGCTTTGTCTCAAAGCGGGAGGCTCTGGCTCTGAAACAAAAGACTTAGGAGGGATGCAAAAGGTGTCCTTTCAGGTTTAGGAAGCCAGGGATTGAAAACAACTAAGAACTAGTGAGCAAACGGCCTAACTATACACAAATGCTTGCATTACCACAGCTTTACAGCGTGTCCTATATTTCAAAATCAAGACTAGTCATACTACTTAATGTGTAATCTGTATTAATACCAAGTTTTATTGTTGCAAAAAGGCATTATTCATGGAAAAATTATGCCAATCTCCTCTCAGTCAGCCATACCTATGGGAATGGGGTTTCTGAAACCACAGGGTTACAACTCTGGGCAGTGTATCCTAATTTGCATGCTTGATTATTTGAGGCGGTAATGCAGGCAGAAAGCATGTGTCAATTCCACCTGTGATCTAGGGGAAAGACCGTTAAATCCTGAGCAAGAGTAAAGCTTTAACAAATAAACCTAAAAACGCTACACACTCCCAAGAGAAAGAGACACTTCACGTCGTCCTTAGAACATTCTGGTCAAAGAAGTAAGACCCAGAAATGGCTTTGAGTAAAGGCACCCAGATAAGCTCCCTGACCTGCAGAACCAAACACAGAGCACTTTGTTCTCAAAACCCTCCCGCCCCTGTCTGCACTACAAGTTGTTCAGGTGCATAAACCTTGGTCTGAAGCTCTGCATTCGCCGACTCTCCAGGGCAGCACCCCCAGGAGTCCCCATGGAGCAGAGGCCACCACTCAGGAGGCCGAGATTTAGAACCAGGAGCTCCTTACATAGACACTGACTCTCTTTCTTCTCGACCTAGGAAGAGCGAGACCTGTGGTAATGGGTTGGTGTGCTGGGGTTAGGTGAGGGCAACAGTGGGAAGAAGCTGGGATTCCCAGGCTGGAAATGGCACCATTTGGCCCCTGGAAATCCTCTCCCTAGGGATCTGATTCTGTTTTATTCGAATAGCTACAGATAAAAATAAGCGAGCAAACCACTGCACTGTCAGCTGAAGCTTCAAGAGGAAAAAGACAACATCTACCTGCCTAGCATCGAGCCTGGTACTGACTGTCCCCCAGAGGCCTCAGTAGCCATCACCAAACACGTGGATGGATGACAGATGAACAGTGGACGAGTGCATGAAAGAATGGATGGGTGAATAAATGAGTGGATGGGCGGAGGGATGCATGAATGAGTAGGTGGGTGGATGGATGAGTGAATGGATGAATGAGTGAACAGATGGAAGCATAGATGGATAGATGCATGTATGGACAAATGCACAGATGGATGAATGAATGGATGGATGAGTGAATGGATGGATAAGGGAATGGGTGGATAGATTAGTGAGTAGGATGGATGAGTGAGCAGACAGATGCATGGATGGATGAGTGAGTGGATGAATGAATGAATGAATGAGTCAGTGGATGAATGAGTGGATGGGAATGAATGAATGGATGAATGAGTGGATAGAGATTGATGAATGAACAAATGAATGAGTGGATGGATGAGCGCGTGGATGAAAGAGTGAATGAGTGGATGGCTGAGTAAATAAATGGAGATGGATGGATAAATGAATGAGATGATAGATGACTGAGTGGGTGAATGAATAAAGGAGTAGATAGATGGGTGAGTGGATGGATGGATGGATGAATGAATAAAACAATGAGTGAATAGATGGATGAGTGGGTGGATGAATGAATGAGTGAGTGGATGAGTGAGTGAATGGATGAAGGAATGAATGAGTGGGTAGATGAATGGATGAGTGAGTGGGTGGATGAGTGAGTGGATGGATAGATGAATGAATGAATGAATGGGTGGATGAGAGAGTGGGTAGATGAATAAATGAATGAAAGAATAGGTGGGTGAATGAGTGGGTGGGCGAATGGATGAGTGAATGGGTGGATGTGTGTGTGGATAGATGAGTGAATGAATGAGTGGGTGGATGGGTGACTGGATGGATGGAGATGGATGAATAAATGAAGGAAGGAGTGAATGGATGGATGAGCAAGTGGCCGGATAGTTGAATGAATGGGTGGGTGGATGGATAGATGGATGAGCGAGCGAGTGGATGGATAGCTGAATGAACGGGTGGGTGGATGGGTGACTGGATGGATAGAGATGGATGAATAAATGAAGGAAGGAGTGGATGAGTGGACGAGTGAGTGGATAGATGAGTGAATGAATGAGTGGGTGGATGGGTGAATGAATGAATGAGTGGGTGGATGGGTGAATGAATGAATGAGTGAGTGGATGGGTGGATGAGTGGATAGATGAGTGAGTGAATGAGTGCGTGGATGGGTGAGTGAATGAGTGGGTGGATAGATGAGTGAATGAATGAGTGGGTGGATGGGTGGATGAGTGAATGAATGGGTGGATGGGTGAATGAATGAATGCGTGGATGGGTGAATGAATGTGCGGATGGGTGAATGAATGAGTGGGTGGGTGGGTGAATGAGTGGGTGGGTGAATGAATAAATGAGTGGGTAGATGGGTGAGTGAATGAGTGGGTGGATGGGT